CACCTTCAGTGCACTGTGGCCAAAGGGCAGAAGTGGTGGGTAATAGGCATTTTCCTGCAACTTCCAAGGCCTTCCTAGGCCAAGGTGGTTTTGAGCCTAGAAGGCTGTGCTGGCTGGGTTTTTGGCTTCTGGAGAGAAAGCCAAACCTAGCTCTAGATATTGCAGAGCTGGCCTGAATTTTAGGATGCTGATTAGAGGTGGGGGGGGAGGAGGGGGGAGAGAGTGAGGGAGAGGGGGAGGGGGAGGGAGAGGGATGGGGAGGGAGGGAAGAAGGAGAGGGAGAGAGGGAGAGAGTACTTCAGAGAAGGAGCTTACAGATGTGCCACAGCTGCCCCAGGGAGCCAGGGCTTACTGCAGCTTTCCTAGCTTATCTCCAAGAAGAAGCTCCCTCTAAGGTCTAGGGTCTCCGAGAGCTGGCTGGAGAGACTCCTTTGCCCCAAGGGATGGAAATGGAGAGATTCCAAAGAAAACTGGAGAGTTTTCCCCTGTCATTTCCCCTGTCAGCTATGCTGACTTGATGGCTCTGCCATCACCAATGTGGATACAGATTGTGCCTCTGTCCTTTATGTACCTTGGCCATGTCATCTTTTTCTCTCTAAGCCTCTTTTCATCCATAATATTGTGTTAATCATACCTGCTTCAGAGAGTTGTTGTGGGAATTCAATGAGATAATGCAAATGAAGTCCTTAAAATTTGATAAAGTTTAGATATTACTAAAAATGTTACCTTTAGGACTCAGACTCATTATTATTTGAGTGACTTGACAATATCCTAGACCAGTTTGCTGTTTGTCCCTCTTCTGAATTATGCATATATGTATACATTACATATACATGTAATTATATTTATATATATGCATATGTATATATACATGAATATATGTATGTATATGCACATATATGCATATGCAAACAAATATATATGGATATATATATCCATGTAAACATATATCCATATGTTTACATCTATACATATGTATGTATGTATAAAATCTTCAAGTTCAATTCAACGTGTCAGTTTATGAGTATGTGGCATCTAGATCACTGTCACTCACCCCTTTTGTCGTCCTCCCTCTGTTCTCCTGGTTGCATTTTTACTTATGTACAGAGAATATTATGACTATTTTTGTCCATTATTTCTCTCTCTTTTCATCTGCTCCAAAGTAAGATTGACCAGCCACAGATGCCTCTGGGCCTCTGGATTGACAGCAGGAAGGAGCGTGCTCTTGGGAGGGGACTTGAGGGACACGTACATTCCATAGCCATCAAGTGACCCTGCACTGCTGTGGCTTCCTAGGAAATGTGAATCCTGGATGTTCATTAGACATTGTTTTCAGCCGGAGTTTATTTTCCTAGGGAAATGAAGTTTTCATCTTTGAAGAATGGACAGTTCTTTTCTATAACAGCTTCTATCCACAGAAGGTTTTTATGCCTTCTTTCAAGTCACAGTGTGGGAGGTGTCCTTGTACATTGGATCTCTAGAGCGTAGGCTTGAGGGGGTCAAAGCTGAGTCCAGATTCCAGCTGTGATAGGTACCAGCTGTCACCCTTAAGTTCCTCATGTGCGAATGTAAATGATACCCACTTCATGGGATTAAAGCAGAACAGAATGCATCCAGCCAATTATGTAACACATAATAGCCTCTCTGCAAAAGTTGTTGCTTATTTTTGGGGGGTGGGCCAGATTGCAACATCATATTAATAAAATTCTGTGGCTTTCACATGGATTCCAATGTTCCATAGAGTTGACTTAGAGGCTGCAAAAGAGGGCAATGTGTGTGTGTGGAGGGAAGGGGGGTGGTTAAGGAAACAGTGCTCAGGCCCTATGCCTTTTCAAAGAAGCTTTGCTGGTATCTGTTTTACACTGGGGTGATCAGTGTAAGATTTTGTTAGGAGGATAAACATATATAAAAAAAGTGTTTTCCTTTCCCAGTTAAGCATACTTTTAAGGTTCTATTTAGTAATTTTGCATTATCCATAGCCATACATTTTCTTTTAGACATTCTTGTAGTTTTAGGCTTTAAATTTGATCGAGGATGCATCCTGAGTGAAGGTTTTGCCATCACAATGCACTGCAGAGAAAGAGGCTTCAGCAATCAGATTTTGTTTTCTCATAATTCTGAGATTGAGGTGTTGGGTAGAGTTGGTTTCTTTTGAACCCCTGTCTTGGCTTGTAGATGGCTCCCGCATCTTCCCTCTGTGCCTATTAGTGTCTTAAATTCCTCCTCTTATAAAAACATCAACTCTACCAGAATAGGAATCTTTCTGCTGACCTTATTTTAACTTCGTTACCTCTCTAAAAAGTAGCTCCAAATACATTTTGGTGTAATGGATATTAAGACTTTAACATATAAATTTTAGGGGGGATATATAAGAAACTAGAATATATAGGTTGAAATGTGGATTTCCAGTCTGGATACTCAGCTGTTCTAAGATCATTTGTTGAAAAGAATCTCCTTTCTTGCTGAATTGCCTTTGTCAAAAAAGCAGTTGTACATATATTAATACAGGTGGATTTCTAGATTCTATTCTGTTGTACTCATGTATTTATCTTTGATCCAATACAATGTGGTCTTGATTACTTTAGTTTTATATTTTAGAAAAAAATTTATAAAATAAGCTTGTTCAAAGTTGTAGGTTAGTTTTTAAAACCTGTCCTTTAAAAGACACTGAAAAGAAAGCTGGGTCTTATGCCTGAAATCCTAGCTACTCTGGAGGCTGAGATCTGAGCATCATGGTTCAAAGCCAACCCAGGCAGGAAAGTCGTGAGACTGTTATCTCTAATTAACCACCAGAAAGCTGGAAATGAAATTGTGGTAGCTCAAGTGTTAGAGCACTAGCCTGGAGTGAAAAAGCTCCAAAACAGTGCCCAGACCCTGAGTTCAATCCACAGGACCAGCATACACACAAAAAAAAGTTATTCACAAAAGAAAGAAAACACAAACCATAAATAAATATATGTAATTTATATGTGTAAATTTTTAATAATTATATTCTTACTTATATAATATAGATTTATATCATGTAATATGCATAATTTTATAGCATAGATATAATATAGGACCTGTTTTGTATACTTGGCTACTAATACTTCATTAAAAAATTATTGTAAAGGTGATGAACGGGGGTGGGGGTTACAGTTACATAAGTAAGATGAGTACATTTCTTTTTAAATACTGTTACCCCCTCCCTCACTTTCTTCCACATAGCCCTTCCCCCACCCCTCCCTCCCAAGTGGTAACAGAGTTACAGCATAGTGTCTAGTAAGTATCTTTGTTGCTTAGTTCATCCTTTGTCCTACTGATTCTGTGATTCCCCTTTTCTTCCACTGATTAGATAAACTTATACACAAGACAAAGGGTACAGAAAACTGAAACAGAAAAAAAATAGAAATGACTGAATACAGGATATAATAAGAACCTCTTGTTTCCAATTCTTGGATAATATAGGACTTATATTCAGAATATATAAAAGGTCTAAGATCTAAATGTTGAGAAAATAACTCAGCAAAAAATGGGCAAGCTTGAAAAGATATTTCTGTCTGAAAGAATATATGGATAGCAAATGAGCATCTGGAAATAATACTTAAAAATATCATTAAATATGTTAATGTTGAAGCCACAAAAAGATACCACTATGCCACAATTAAGTCATGTGACAGATTATGTCAACAATTGGTGGGGCTATGGGGGAAGTAGAAGTCTTACTCTGTGGGTGGGAATGTAAAATCGGACAAATACTTTGAAAAACAAAGTGGAAGTCTTTATTTTACAGTCAAACATGTATTTGTCGTATGTTCCAGACATTCTACTACTAGAAATAAAAGCACATCTGTATGAAAAGTTGTACATGAACATGTATAGAAGTTTTAATCTTAAGGCCCTAAGCTAGAAAGTAATCAAATATTTATCAATAATGTGGATGAACTGTGGTAATTCATGGAGCAGAACACTATCTAGCTCCAGAAATAAAAAAATAAACTATAAACATGTTAAAATGCACAAATCTCAAAATAATTATGCTGAGCAGTAGAAGCCAGACATAAGAAAACTCTATATGTTTCCATTTATATAAAAATTTAAGAAATGCCAACCAATATATATAGTAACAAATGGCAAATGAATGCTTTCTTAGTGCCAACAGTAAAAAAAAAAATACAGGGTGTGATTAGGGATTAAAGGACACAAAAAATTTTGGTGGATATTCGTTATCATATGTTCATTATCTTTACTTAGTGAACATATATTCATTATCTTCATGGTGGTAATCTCATAGATATGAAGACATGTCAACACTTACCAAATTATACCGTTTAAACTTTTATGTAATCTATGGTAAGAAAGATCCTAAGATCCTTAAGAAAGATCCTAAAAGCAGTTATGGAAACATTTGGACTACTGATTTTACAAAAGTCCAAGAATAAAGTGGAAAAATATAGGAATATAAGCGATCAGCTTTCAGGCCACATAGAATTTCCACTATGCCAGTGGCATTTGAACAACTGTTTTTTCTTACAGGCTTTAGGAAGTGTCCAGCCAGTCAGGAGACTGAGAAGAGATTCCTCACAGTGTTGGTAGGCCTAAAATACAGCATGAGCCACAAATGCCAAGAAAAACTGAGAAAGGTTAATCTTTGTCTATAGAGTTAAGTCCCTTTGAGTTACATGGGCGTTCAGTTTTGGTCCTAGTTGCCACAAGCTATTTTTTTCAAGTATTTAGCATTGAGTATGGAATTCAGTAAAACAAGCCTTTGCACCTGTGTTTGTTAAAATCTGTATCTAAATGAGTTTGGAACAAGACAGTAAAGTAACTAGGAGCAGATTTATTGCAGTCTGGACTTAGTTGTTTGGCAGACTTCTTTTTGCTACCTTTCTGGATTGATTAGACTTTGCTAATTGATGGGATATCAAGGGTGACAGCCCTCCCCCCACCCCCTTGCTCTGGACTTGGGCTTGGTATAAACATTCCTGGTGGCCAAGTCATGCATTTGCTAGTGTGGAAATATGCATTGGAACAGCATTGCTGGGTTCTGTGATGCAGAAACCATTAATGACATCCAAAAAGCATGGCTCAGGTAATTTGGTCCTTATTTCCTTCCCATCTCAGGAAGAAAAAGAAAAGAAAAGAAAAATTCTTCAAGTTCAGAGTATCTTAAACATTTTTGAAGTGGTGTCATTGAGTGGGAATAATTGGTGTCTATGGGACTGTGAGGGTGAATGTGGGGCTTGCCATTCTTCTCATTATAGAACAGAAAAGAACCTGGGCAAAAGTAGTAGACAGACACAAACATTTCAGCCAAGCGTTCGTCTAAAAACAGGGAATAGAGAGTTCTACAGAGCTGTGTAGTCACTTGCATTTAAATGTCTTATTTTACAAGTTCATAACCACATTGCACAGAGTAGTATTAGTACCATAGATTTTACAGCAGGATCTAAAGTGGATAGTCTTCTTAACTACTCTTTCATTTTGTTAAGCACTTGGTTCAATTAAAATGATACGGACTATGGAGAGTACAGAACAGCAGTACTGGGACTTAAAAGACCATCATTAAACCCAGACCCTGAGGCCAGGCAAAGCTCCCCAACAAAGTGGGACAAAAGCTTCTGCCTCTGTCTACCTTGATGGTGATGAGTAAAACACTCATGGACTCTGTATCTTTGTTTCATAAGCAATAATTTCCCTCAATGAATGTTTATGAGGAATCAATCAGTTGAAAAATACTAAAGGGCCCAGTCTATTGCTTGCCAGAGGGAATGGTCAATATAGGCTTTCTTCCTTCCCTTCGGCCTCTGTTAGGTGAGGATTCCACAATGGTTTTCAGTTGTCACGTCTGTCACTTGATGTTGATCTTCCTGCTTCCAGTTCCCTGGAGTTTTCCTCTGATGCTGCTCAGGGCCTTGCTTCTGGCTGGACCTGAGCAAGGGCTCAGGCCTGGGGCACAGCTGCAGGGCTGTGATGCATACAACACACCAGTGTAGTCATCATTTGTCATCATACTCTGTGTGTGTGTAATGCAGGGGGTGGGGGGGGTGGCGGTGGAGGGACTGTGAAGGAAACTGCCTTAGTAACTGAGCAGAGGGAGGAGAAGAATCAATACGTGTTCTCTCTAGAGGACAAAAAAAAAGGAGTAAAATTGTTTCTAAGCGAGGTACTAGTGGTTCATGCCCATGATCCTACCTAACTCAGTTGAGATCTGAGGATCACAGTTTGAAGCCAGCCTGAGCAGGAAATTCTATGAGATTAATCTCCAATAAAACACACACACATATAAGCTGGAAGTGGAGCTACAGCTCAAGTGGTAGAGCACCACCCTTGAGTGAACAAGCTAAGGGACAGTGCCCAGGTTGAGGACAAGCCCCAATAAATGCCAATACTGGCATTAAAAACAGTCATCTTCAAGAACAACTGAAATTTACTCTGGATGTATGTATTCTACAAGGAGTACGTTAGTGCGCCTCTTGGCCAGGTTTTAACTGCTGCGGAAACAAATCATTCAAGTGTTCTTAGGGGCATTCTGACTGGCCAGCAGGCATTTTCCGTATGAGAGAGAAGTACAGAAAACTCAACAAGCTGGTCACAGGGTGGACTTTGCTTTTCACTCCTCAGGTTCCTTTTGTTCATCCACTGTGCCATTCTCCCTTCCTAAGAAGACTTTGCTTTTTCCAACCCAAATCACCTTCTGCAGTTGCAAATCTACCTCACCTCCAGACATTTTGTTTTTCTGCACAGCTGTCACAACAAACTTCCCCTCATCTGCTACTAAATGTATCAGACACTGTCGTGCGGGCTGTGTGTTGCCGACTCTACCCTCGGGGCTTCCCAATAGAATCTGATGTTATCCAAAACTTCTCATCTGTTTCAAAAGGGTACAATTTCCTGCATTCTCTGGAGGGAAATCAAACGCATTGCATTTAGGAAATAGAAAGATCCTTCACTGACTTAGAAAACCTCTAGGCAATTATGGGGTGATTATTCTGAACTTAAGAGTTTCCTCACCTCATTTCCCACAACAACCGACTGGGGTGAGCGGACCATGGGGCTTTTCATCTTTTGAGTGAGACATCAGGAAACAAGTCAGAGACATGGAGATGAGCTGTGGTCCTTTGATTTCCCTCTATCCTTCTCCCAAACCAGTTTTTGAATCCCCCCCAGAGGCAATGAAGTCTCTTTCCTTCTTTCCTCCTGCCGTCTGTATGTGGGATTCTAGAATCTTTTCCTTTAAATCTGTCTTCATCATCCTTTAAAATATATACCTAGTCTCCTGATAAATGTGCTTCTCTTCCTCAAAGTTACTTTTTGGGGAGACAGAAATTGCCCATGGAGAAAAATCACTTGCAGCTGTTTTCCCAGGCTCCTTTACCATTCTGCCTTTTCACCTCTGAGCTGGGATGAATTTTCTTCCCACTGTTGTCTTTCTTCCACACGCCAAACTTACTTCCCAATGTCTCTCTAATTCCTTTTTGTTTTTTTTTTTTTAGTTGCCTTTTTAATTTCCTGCTGTCAAACATCTGCTGTATCACCTTGCCTCCTCTAATTCCTGGAAAAACTTGCTTTGTGAACGTGCTTTCTCCTCAGTGTAATTTCCCTGGCTGTGTACAATGGTGTGATTTTACACTGGCTGATGAGGCAGTTTGAATAATTGTTTTAGCTCCATTACTGCAAATTTATTTGGTTTAATACTTTCCTTTTGTAACCTTTGATTAATGTCTGACCACTGGGGGAACTGGTGCGTTCATTTCCCCTCCATACAGCTGAGAAGTGTGAGAACCAGAAGTGGCAGATGCTTGTGCTGCGCTGCAGGAGGAGGGAGCATGTGCTGTTGAAAGAAGTCTCTCTGCCCTTACTCTATTTGCTAACGGGGCTGTGTGGCAGCCACTTCATACCAAAGAGCAAATGTTAGGATTTCGGGAAAAGTGTACCAGCATATCGGATTTTAAAAGCGAAGAGTGAATTTCTGTTGAGTTAACAGCATGTAGCTAGATGGTATTTTCTCTTCAAGCTCATGAAACTTCACAGCTGTTTAGTGAAGCAGTATTTTCATATATGTATGTTTGACAGATTTACTAGCAGGTCTTACAGTAAGGGACGTGCTGGTCAGCCCTCCCTAGCTGGAATGGCAGCAAGATTTTTTTTTTTTGAGAGTCTTTCATTTTTGTGTTTATGGGGTGAAGTGGTTGGTCTAAAGCAAGGGAAACTGAAAGGCAGGCTGGCTCCAAAACAAATTACAAATGTCCTTAGTAGAGTGCTCCTTGGAGCTTGTTAACCAGGGAAGATAACACAGGGAGACCCATGCTGCTTAGCAATAGGAAGATGTGAGTACAGAGAGCTTCCTGTAACCCTAAGTTGGTAGATGGTAATTAAACCCATACATCTCACGTCTTACAGTTTTCTGCAACTGAATCTCTGGAACGTTTCTGCACTTAGTCTCTCCTCTGCTCTGGAAAAGGCTGCTGTGCCTTAGAATAGTCATTGAATATCACCAGATTGAAGACAAAGGCTCCACTGGTTTTATTGGCCAAAATAAAGCACTTCCTAGTACTGTTATGTTGGATGCTCCAAGTTTTGGGAAACTAAGGTATCATTTTCTTCTCTAGTTTAGTGAAGGCCTTCCAGTCTGGGAGACCTTATAAAGGCTAGTGCTTAAAGTAGCTTACTTTATATTTATCCCCCAGTGATAAACTGCACTTGACATGATTTATCTGTGCCTTTTTTTTTAAAGTATGATCTTTAAGTATTTTTACAAAAGAGTTGCTATTCCACAAAGCAGTTTATGATCAATGTGCTTTCTTGATCAATGTCACCCTTATCTGTGCTTTACTGACTGTATGTACTTGGCTATGACTGACAGCTGTGAGTCACCTGTGCACGTATGACACTCACACATACATTGCTGTGGTCAAGGCGTCCACCCTCATGGTTGTCCTGGCATCCTTAGATAATAAACAGATACTAAAGGTTCCACCATATGCCTCCCTTAAATTTCAGAAGAGACTTCTTAAGCCAGTAATACAGTTTGTCCTATACTACATAATTCATTTTGGTTATTTGGTTTATATTTTTCCCTTAAGCAACATTGAAGTTACAGGTCAATAGCCAGTTACCCTCATCCAACATGTACCTCCAATGCACAGTAGGAAGTAAGGCTTTATTATTTCAGGAAACGTGAAAAGGATAAAAGAAAGCTAGAAAGAATAAGAAGGCATAGAAATGGAAGACAAATTAGTTTTCTAAGAAGGAAAACTAAAGACTTCTCGATGTTAAAGAGTAAAATGATGTCAGTAAAATGATGAACAACAACAACAAAAAAAAACACAAAACACAAACCAAACCTAATTGTAGATAGGATGAGGAGTGGAGCAAAGGTCACTTGAAATCTACAGGGAGTGAGACCATATGCCACTCAGTGGCCAATGGAGAGAGAAGATATTACCTCAGATGTCCTCAACACATTGCTACCTGTATCCCTCTTGAACTGGAGCTCCTAAAATTCCTCTGGAAAGGCATCGGTATACCAGGTGTCCTGCTCCAAGCACCCCACTGGCCTCTTCCTTAACTTCTAGAACCCATGGGATTAGAAAGGCAAACTGTGAGCTGTTCATTTGCCCAGGTGTTAGGACTCACCTCTCTATTCAGTGCTTTCTCTTGTTTCTACATTGTATATACTTCATTCAGGATGCTGATAATTCTAGTTGGCTGGTGGGAGCAGACACAAAAGCAATAGAGTAATGCTTTTCAAAAGTAGGAACCAGTTAAAAGTATAGATGCTCTAGTTAAATAATAAGAAGGGGTGTAAAAATGTGATTTGTATTAAGTATCTCAAAACATACATAACAATATGTCAGGGCTGAACTATAGCTCTCTTTTGCATATAAGGAGACAATTCAAATAACTTGTTCTAGGTCATACCTAGAGAGGAACAGCCAGGAACAAAGCCTAGGTCTCTTGAATCCTTCTATAAAAAGAAATTTTTGAATATGTTATAGTTGAAAAGAGCAAACTATTGTTAGATTCAAAAAAGGTAATCGTTCAAATGACTAATCAAGTTGTATACTTCTGTCATGAGCTGCAACTACTTGCTTGATGAGTGTATTTATTTGTTCTAAAAATATTTATTGGAAAATACTGTGATATTGCGTATGTATACAAAGATAAAATGCAATCTTTGAGGAGAACATGCTCAGTGAATTTTATAAAAGATATTATCACCATTTACTAATACATAGTCTAGAGGGTAATAGACACAAAAACATGTAGTGGGCTACTGAAGACATCAAAGCCAGGCATTGGTGGCTCATACCTGTAATCCTAGCTACTCAGCAGGCTGAGATCTGAGGATCATTGTTTGGAAGCCAGCCTGGGCAGGAAAGACCATGAGACTCTTATCTCCAATTAACCAACAAAAAACTGGAAGTGGCACTGTGGCTCAAAGTGGTAGAGGGCCAGCCTTGAGCAAAAGCAGCTCAGGAACAGTGCCCAGGCCCTGCGTTCAAGCCCCACAACCAACAAAAAAGAAAAAAAAAAAAAAAAAACCAAGTAGTTCTGCGTAGGTCTTGAGAGAGTGATAAACTGGACCTTGTATCATGATTGTGATTTTTCTATGTGGGGAAAGGATAAAAGCCAGAGGAGACAATATGTGCAAAATCAACGTATTAAAAAGAATGTCTCTATTTTCAAAGACTAGGAAACAGACTAGAAATGATAGGGAATATTATGATGACATGAAGCTACATTGAGTGGTTTATACTGCCACGAACAAGTACATGAATGCAGTACTTTCTAAAGAACAGAAATTAATTTTCTCGCAGTTTTGGACACCAGAAGTCTGAGATCATGGTACTAGCACTTGATGTCTAGTGAAGGCCTTCTAGCCTCCAGAGGAGGTAAACACTATCTCCTCATATGAAGAAAAACACAGAAGAGCCTAGAAGAGACACCCTTTCAGCCCTGAGCCATTTTATAAGGTACTGATCCTATTCCTTATCAGCTTCCAAAGGGCATACCTTTCTTCGTTTTTCTTTCCTTTTTTTTCCTTCCTTCCTTCGTTCCTTCCTGCCTGCCTGCCTGCCTGCCTGCCTCTCTCTCTCCCTCTCTCTTTTTCTTTCTCTCATTCTTTCTTTCTCTCATTCTTTCTTTCTCTTTCCTTCTTTTTCTTTCCTTCTCTCTTTCCTTCCTTTCTTTCCTTCCTTCCTTTCTTTCTTTCCTTCCTTCCTTCCTTCCTTTCTTTCTTTCTTTCTTTCTTTCTTCCTTTCTTTCTTTCTTTCTTTCTTTCCTTCTTTCATTTATTTATTTTTGGCTGGCCCTGGGGCTTGAACTCAGGGCCTGAGCATTGTCCCTGAGCTTCTTTTGCTCAAAGCTAGCATTCTACCACTTGAGTCACAGTGCCACTTCCAGCCTTTTATGAGTTGTTTATTGGAGATAAGAGTCTCATGGACTTTCCTTCCCAGGATGGCCTCCAGCCATGATCCTCAGATCTCAGCCTCCTGAGTAGCTAGGATTATAGTCATGAGCCATCAATTCTGGCTTGGGCATACCTTTTAATATTCCTGTATTGAAGATTAAATTCCAACCTGAATTTTGGAAAGAGATATTCAAAATCCATAGCCACACCCTTGAGCAATAATTGTGGTGAAACAGATGCTTTAAAGACAGTAGGCATATGATTAGAGCTTAATATATAGGCATATATGGGACTATAGGAAATGGATTTCTTCCTACTGAGACCAACTACCTTAGATTAATAGGATCAAACAGTTGATATGTGCCACCTACTTAAGGTTGGAAGGCAAAAAGATATTGAATATGTAATTAAACAATGTTTGATATTAGTAAGAGCTGAGCCATACTTATTTTTGTAGCTGCCTCCATATTCTGGCACAGTGCCTGGCATATTGTAAGTTCTCAATATGCTTTCTGGAATGACTGAATAGTTGGAAAGTAAGCTGTGGAGATGGAAGACCAATAATAATGGAGCTCTGAATTTTCTGTAGGTAGAAATCTTCCTTGAGATGGCTGAAGGGCTAACTACCATACATCCAGGACTGTTCTCAGGGCTTGATCTTTGATGGCTAAAAAGTGTATCTACCTCCCACTCTACACTGAAGAGTAAGAGCTATATTTGTGTCAGTGATTCCTGTTCAGCGATGAAAGATTTCACAGAACTATTTAAGTTTTCATGTAAGTTATATCTCCAGGCTTTGGAAGGAAAAAGTAACTGACACAATAAAAAGCATCAGTAAGAATCTCAGGCCCTAAATCTTAGTCCTTCTGTCACTCATCAAATTCCCTTTCCTTCATGTCCTTTTCTACTATTCATTCTCATATGTTTTTATCGGAGCTTGAGATAATGTCAAATAATACTTTTTTTAAGAAAAATATTCAGAAGTGAAAGCAGAGTTTTGTTTTGTTCCCTCAAGACATACACCTATTATTAAAATACAATTCATAATACAAGGAGTGTTGATTTTACTTCAATTTGCTTCTAGATTTAAACAGAAAAAAGAGGAAAATGACATTGTAAAGAAATTTTATCTCTTTCTGGTTAAAAAAAGATAATCTGTAACTATGGATTGTGGAAACTAAATAGAAACTTTTTTCAAATAGTGCTTCAAAGTTTTCTTTGAATACATATGTATATATATTATTTATGAATGTATTACATGTGTATTCAAACATTCTGAATTCAAAGGCATGATACAGGCATGAGTTTAAAAAATAGTTGCTTCATATTTTGAAGAATATACACTTTAATATTTCTATAGTTTGAATTCAAGTGAAGGAACAATGACTTCAGTTTCTTATGCATAAGAATAAAGAACACAAAATGTGCAGTTTTAAGTTTACATATTTTAAATAATTTCTATAATTGCATGAAAGAACACTAGACCCTTTTTATTATTTGGGGGATCTTCAATAGAAAATCTTGAGTGTCTTTGTAAATGAATTATGTGACTAATGCATCTTGTGTGGGCATGGATTATTTTTATAGCATTATTTTAATACCTCTGAAAAATTTAAAGACTAACTAGATAAGTAATAAGTTATAATTTGTTTGGGGAATTTTAAGAATTTCATATGCTCTTCATGTCCCAATGTGGTGATATGTTCTCTGTATTAAGGGGACTAGCAGTTGTGAAGATTCGAGGAACTCTTCTTCCTTCCCTCTCTTCCTTTCTCTCTCCCCCACTCCCTCTCCCTCTCTTCCTCTCCCTCTCTTCTCGCTTCTTTCCTTCCTTTCTTTTCTTGGCTGCATGCAGTTTGGGGGTGTTTATCATGTCCCTTTGTCACAGCACTCTAGGGCACTTTGCTTTGTATATGTTGGAGCTTCACACCTTAGACTTTTCCTGGCTGGAAAGCCTTGGGGAATGCTTCCTTTCTGATGCTGCTGTTTCTTCTTTCATCACCTACAAACCTGTCTTTCCTCTATGTTTTATAAAGTCTCTGTCTCTTTGTATCAGTTGTTTCCTGTTGGGTATGGGTCCTACCTTGTCCCGGGGCTCATAAAGAGACTCCTGCGGACCCTTCAAATCTCAGCCCAAGCACTCTGCTTTCCTAAGCCTCCTCCTCTCATTGCTCTCACAGAATCTTCACCCTCCATTTTAGGGCTTTTCATTCCTGGCCTCTTAATTGTCCACTCTTTGAAATTGGAGATATTACCCTATATATTTAGGTTTTTAGTGTTCAGTTTTTAGCAAATGAATGAAAAGATGGAGTCATGGCCTAAAATGAAACAAAACACCTTTAAAATCGAATAAAGAATGAAGAGTACTGATTGTCTTTCATGGTCACCATAAGAGGGTATTGAATGATATTTCCCCTTGTAAGTTCTAGAGAAATGCCACTGTAGCTTGCTCAGTTTTATTCAGCTGAGAGGACTGCATAGGGACATTGTATTTCTGGGGCAGCTGACAGCTTTCAGATCGGCAGACCCTCCTGGCAATCTCACAACAACTTTAGTTGGAGAGTGTGATGTCACTGCTTTTTCAAAGAGGTTGGCTTCTAATTACTATGTCATGTGTGATTTCATCCAATCTCCTTCCCCCCGCCCCCCGCCACCAGCAAACAAATTACATTTATCATTTTCTGTATGATGTTGTAAATTTTAAGTTTTCTAAAACGATCCCATCGTTTCCCACACTGTCTCCTGGTGCATTGCTAATACCAAAAGATTTGGTGAGTACATCTGTATGCATCTGATTCTGATCGTTTTCCATTTCCCCTTTCTGATGCTGGCACTAAGACTTGAATTCTGCATCTGGCACTTTTTTCCATTGAGGAAATGGAGCAATGGTGCTCTGTTCTTTGAGCCACACCCTCATTTCTGGCTTTTTGCTAGTTAATTGATAAGACTGAAAATTTTGTCTGTCTGGGATGGCTCTCAGCTGCAACCCTATGTAAATGGTCATATGATAATGTATGACGTATTATGATCAAATGGCATAGTATTTAGTAATATAAATTATTTGCATGCAAAAAGATGTGTGAATGATAGATCAAGGTGCTGTGTTCTTCTGGGCATAATATCTGTCACTAGACCATGGAGGGATGAGGATTTGTTCCCATGGTTCCTCGGCTCTGCCTGCTGTGCCTCTGGCCCTGGAGACTCTCCTCCCTGTCTTGTTGCTGACAGTATTCCTGTGTTCCCATGGGACTGTATACATGAGTCAACACAGGCATTTCATTAGTTACTTGCTTCTCACACTACACTTGTATAGTCCTTGTGGAGTTTCTGTTATATGCAAATGCATACAATTTCATTAAAAAAATAATGTGCAGTCCTTTGGGCAGTCTGTGCCAGTCAGTCATGTTATCTGGCGGATGGACTGGAGCGGTTTGGGAGTCACAATACAGTCTGTGATTACCTTTATCCACCATCAGAAGCTAGACTAGGAGCTCCTAAGCTCTCCTTTATCTTCACCACATTGTCATCGTGTGAGCCTGACCCATCACTAGAAATGTATTGTGAAATAGTTAATGAATGTTTGCAGAATGCTTAGAGAAATTTTAATGAGAAGAGGAGACTTGTGGTTAGCGTAAATGAACTGATATTTTTTCTTTTTGTACCCACAACACATTGGGAAAATATGCATTCAAGAATAAGTTTTAGTGTGTTAAAATATTTTGACTGGTTAACAAAATTTAGCACTTACAAACAAGCATCAATACAGTGATCACAGAAATAGAGCATTTCAAATGTAAATTGTCATAATGAAGAGGAAAGAATCATCAGTGCCTAGTTGTTTATTTTATTCATTCAAAACATGTTAAATGTCAAAGCAAGTCCTTATTTTCTCTAGCTTCTTTCAGAAGAGGCAAGACAAGTACTCCTTATAATGTAATAATGCATGCATATATTTCTAAAATTATTTGTAGTGCAGGATCAGTTTATTAAAGTTTAAATCTGTACTTTGGCAAAATAGCATAATAATGAAGAATGAAATAAAATACATGTTCCATTTGACAGGTATTACCCTTATCTATTTTGTGCTTCTACAATGATAATTAGTAATGGACAGAAATGCATTGGTTCGCTGGTGGGGAGGATGGGAATTCCAGGTCCTGTGAAGACCTCCTTACTGTGTCAAAGCATGATGGAGGAGTCACAAGCCAGGGAAGAGGAGGGAGGAAGGAAAGGAGGGAGGGAAGAAGCCAGCACCTATACTGAGAAGATTATTTCTTTCTTTGTGTGTGTGGTATTTGGGCTTGGACTCAGGAACTCATGCTTGCTAGGCAGGCACTCTACTGCTGAAGCACACATTTAGCTCTTTTTGTGTGTGTTGGTTATTTTGAGATAGAGTCTTGCTTTTCACCTGGGCACGCACCTGTGGTACAATCCTACTTTACGCTTCCTGCCATAACTTGGATGACATTCACACGCCACTGTACAAATCCAGCTTCTCCAGTCTGGCCTGAAACCACAATCCTTTTCATGTCTCTTCTCTCTGTCATGTATCTGGGACAATAGACATGTGCCTCCATGCCAAGCTATTGGTTGAGAAAGGGGTCTGGTATATTTGCCCCAACGAACCCCACGCGATGATTCTTCTGATCCCAGCTTCCCAAATAGCTAGGATTAAAGGTGTGAGCCATTGGTGCCCCAGCCTGATACCCTTAATCTTTATATTTATCTGTTATGGGAAGGCAACTAGCTTGTAGACTAGCATTGATTTGCCTTGTTTACAGCACAAATCATAGAGCTGGGAAGCCTTTGCGATCATAAATTACTTAATCTCTCAGCGATGGTGCCCCAGTTCCTCGTCTGCAAAGTTAACATAATAATATACTATACTTACAGCAGGACCATTGTGAGATTTAAATGCCTTAATGAATGCAGGGTACTTAAAACAATGTCTGATACATAGCAAGCACTACATGAATGCATTATTGTTATTATTGTTTTCATAATTATCATTGGAGGTGATGACAAAGCCTGGTCCCTTTTTTTCAATTAATTCTCTGGATTTTGTAGTGCCTTAGACTTCTTCCTCCTAAAACATACTTAGTCCATGGTATGACTTGACATTCAATAATACCTTTGGCCCTAAACATCAAATACTCTGGGAGCACAGGTGGAGAAGCATTATTTATAGTGGCAAGCAGATTAGGGAAAGCATGGAGAAAGGGCCATAGAAAGAGGAGGGCAAGAGGAGGTAGCACACAGGGCAGAGGGCACTCTGACCCACCATTGGGCCATGCTCTGTTGAAGCACCATTGCCTTATTACCACAGCCAATGTTTCTCTCTCCCGTTGTTATTTTTCTCTTAAGCTTTTAGTAGATACGATTACTAGGTAAAAGTGATCTATGGTCTAAATTCATGATGTCCTATTAAGATGACCAACCACTGTCTCTTTGCTCTTTATTTCTTGCTGGGAACTCTTATTGTTGAATATGTTGAGGGTGGCGGGGCCGTGGGTGGAGAAGCAGTCCCTTGGTGGTGGGCAGCTTGTCTTCTAACACATCATCTTTTTTACCCAGGTTATCTTTGGAAGAAAACCAGTTGGAGAAAAAAATGAAGTTCCTTCTCTTCACACTTTTTGGCATTGTTCAATTTTTATCCCTGGCCTCTGGGAAATCTATACCCAAGAATAAAGTCTCTCATAAATCCTTGAAAGAAATGAAAGAAGAAATAGCTGGCTATGAAGATGTTGCTGAATCACTGATCAATCTTGCTGTGTATGGGAAAGCCAAAAACCGGTCCTATGAGAGATTGTCATTTTTTATTGATACGGTTGGACCCCGGCTGAGTGGTTCCAAGAACCTAGATAGAGCCATCGAAATCATGTACAAAAACCTACAGCAGAATGGGCTGGACAGTGTGCACCTAGAGCCCGTCAAAATACCCCACTGGGAGAGGGGGGAAGAATCTGCAGTGATGCTAGTACCACGACTTCACAAAATGGCTATTTTGGGTCTTGGAAGCAGTATAGGAACGCCACCTGAAGGTACGTTTACCTTTTCCATTCTTCTGCTTTTTAATACAGATAATGTCAGTTGATACAACTGATCACAAAATGCATGATTTCTGTTGTAATTAGGATCTTAGAAAACACAATTTTCCATTCTATTGAGTTAATGAATCCTCTATTCATTTTTTAAATTAATAAGTTTTTATTGTGAAAATACCATACAGAGGGGTTACAATTACATGAGCAAGGTAATGAGTACATTTCTTATCAAGCATTGTTGCCTCCTCCTTTGTTTCCCCTTCCCATCCATCTCCCTCTCCTCCACCCCGCTCTCCGCCAAAGTTGTAAAGTTCGTTATTCGACATAATGTCTTGTACATCTCATTATTGCAATGGGTCCACCTGTGCCCCTATTTAAACAATTTGTTTTTTCCCTTCCCTTATTCTTATGTCCTTTTTCTTTCTTTTTCCTTTCTCCTCTTCTATTTATTTTCTGAAAGAAAATTGTACAGGATCCCTTTTGCTTTGGCAGTGCCAGAGTTTAAACTCAGAGCTTTGTACATACAAGGCAAGTGTACTACTTATTGAGCCATACGCCAAGCCCTTTTTCATATATAGCTGGTTTTAGGTAGAATCTCCTACTTCTTTTTGTATAGGCCAGCCTCAGATTGTGATTCTTATAGTAATGCCTCCTTGTAGCTAGATGGCAGACTCAAAGTATACTACACTGTCCAGCTTGTTTGTGAAGATGAGGTCCTACTAACTTTTTGCCCAAACTGGCCTCAAACAAATCTTCCCCATTGCCTTCTCCCAAATAGCTGAGGTCAGAGATGTGAACCACCATGCCTGGCTTCTGTAGGGTTACTGTTTAAATGCAGAATCCATAGCTACTGGTTCATGTTACTTACCAGCTCTATCACTTAGTAATGCCTAGCTAGTGAAAAATTAATATCATTATGTAAAGAATTTAAATATATACAAATAAAATACAAAAACTGTAACTCCCTCCATGTGGTCTTAGCATGCAAAATCTACTGAAATAGGGAACAGACTCTTGCAGGTTGAATTGATTTGAGCTTATTACTTTTGTAAAACCCAAAGTCTCTAATATAAGGAATTATCAAGGGTTGAGGCCTATCTTTACTGAATAATTCCTTGTCTCAAATTTCTCCAACAATACAATACCTGGATCAGAAAAATCTAACAAGTTAACAATGAGGTATATCAATCAGCCTTGGATATATTCATGGATTAATTTCCTGTGGTGGAGGGGTTAGTTTCTATTCTTTTGCCTTTTCTCTTATGCCAGAAGAAAAACTTGTAGAGAAATAAATTGTCAGATTTTAAAAAAGACTTACTGAAATATAATTCATGTACTATAATAGTCATATAAATTTAAAACATAAACTCAGAGTGAATTTTACTGTATTCCTAGCATTGTACAACCAAATTATAGGAGATTTAGATGGTAGAATATCATCTAGTTGTAGAATATTTTGTCATACTGCCCTCAAAAGAAATAACCTCAAGCATGTCAGCAGCCATCCTATTTTCCTCTCTTAATACTAGCCTAAGCCCTAGACAAGCACTAGTTTGATTTCTGTCTTTATGGATTTGCCTATTCTGGACAATTCATGTGAAAGGGATAATGTATTTGGTGACTAGCTTCTTCTAGGTAGCATTCAGCTTTCCAGGTTCATCTTTGTTATGGTATATAAAAGTGTTTCATTCTTGCATAATTGTTGAATAATATTTTATTTTATAGATGCACCTCATTTATTTCTATTAGTTGATGGACATTTTGATGAATATAAATATAAGCATCTGTGCACAAGACATACCTTTTCTTTGCTCTTAGGTATATATCAAGGGATAGATATTAGATCCTTTGGTAATTCTATATTCAGTTTTTTGAGACACTGCCAAACTGTTTTCTAAAATGGCTATACTTTTTTATAGGTATATGTGTGTATACATACAAACATATATATATATATATAAAACATATGTGTGTGTACTTTACCCAATATTTATCAACCCTTCCTTTTATTTATCTTTTGGATTATTGCTCTTCTAGAGAGAGAGCGAGCAATGAACAATATCTCATTGTAGTTGTGCTTTGCATTCTACTAATGAAAAATGGTATCAGGCATCCTTCCATGTCCCCAATGGCCATTTAAATGTCAATTTTGGAGACATATATGTTCAAATTATTTGGTTAATTTTTAATGAGAGTATTTGATTTTTAGTCATTATTTCTTTAATTGTAAAAGTTATGTGTTCTGGATATGTCCTTTCCCAGATATAGATGCTCTGTTCCATCCTAAAGGTCATTTCTTTACTATTTTTGTTTTTTTTTTTCCTTACTACTTTTTCTTTTTTTTTCTCTTTGGCTCATGGTTTCAGAGGGTTCAACACATTAGCCGTGGCCCTCAGAACATCATGGTAAGGGGGTATGTTCTCCTCAATGCACAGAAATATGAATACAGGAGCTAAGCAAGATAATTAGAGAGTCAGCCTGACATGGAAGTAAATGCCTATAATCCCAGCACTTGGAACCTTGAGGCAGGAGGATCGCATATTCTAGGCCAACCTGAACCCTGTCTCCAAATCAGAAAATACTCAAGTGTTTATGACCTTAGTTTAGGCAGTGCTTTCCTTCCTTCCTTCCTTCTTTCTTTCCTTCCTTCCTTCCTTCCTTCCTTCCTTCCTTCCTTCCTTCCTCTCTCTCTCTCTCTCTCTCTCTCTCTCTCTCTCTCTCTCTCTCTCTCTCTCTCTCTTTTTCTTTCTTTCTTTCTTTCTCTTTCTTTCAGTTGGTTGTGGGGCCTGAACTCTGGGCCTGGGCGCTGTCCCTCAGATCTTCAGCTCAAGGCTAGTGCTCTACCACTTGAGCCACAGCACCACTTCTGGCTTTTTCTGCTTATGTGGTGCTGAGGAATCGAACTCCCAGGACCTCATGCATGCAAGGCAAGCACTCTACCATTGAGCCAACTTCCCAGCCCAGGCAATGTTTTCTTATACATGACACCAATATCACAGGAAGTTATTTTTTAAAAATGGGCTGAATCAAAATTAAAGATTTCTGCAGCAAATATTATCATCAAGATAGTGATGAAAAACCAGTGTGGTGGCTCATACATGTTTATTTTTTCACTGTATTTTAAATTACAGAACCTCTATCAATCTATCATGTTCATGTATTGTTTCTTTCATTAGCTTAAATCTCCTATTGAGCCTTTATACAGAAATTTCCTTTTCAACTATAGAGTTTTCCTCTGGTCTTCTTAAAAATCATTTTTACTTCTTTGTTGATATTACCCATTTGATGAAACAATGCTATCATATCTTCCTTTAGTTATCTCAGTATTCCTTCTAATATTGCGTTTACTTTCTTGAACATAGTTACAGTAGTTAATTATTGTAATAGCTGCTTTGTCTCTTTTGTCCTACATTTGGGCCTCCTTAAAGGCAGTTTCTAGTGTGTATGTTTCTTCCTGTATCTGGGCCACACTTTTTTGCTTCTTTCCATCATAACAAGTAGTCAAAAATGAACATTTTAAATAACATATGGAAGTTGTCTATATAGTGTTCCCCCCATGGAGGCTGATGGCGGTTTTATTTTATTTTATATTTATTTTTGTTAATCTGGTTATTTACTTATTTATTACTGACTTGTCATCCTAACTTTGTCAAGTGTATTTTTCCCACATCGCATAATTTCTGATGTTCCTGTTTTATTTTATTTTTTAATTCTGTTTCCCTAGGAGTTATTTTGAGTATGATAAGACTTTTATTAGTCAAATAGTATTTTTATTTTTTATTTTTTTATTGTGAAAATACTGTACAGAGGGGTTACAATTACATGGGCAAGATAATGAGTACATTTCTTATCAAGCATTGTAGCTTCCTCCATTGTTTACCCTTCCCATCCCTTCCCTTCCTCCCCCTTCCTCCACTGAATCCACCTCCCCTGATTCCCCCCTCACCAAAGTTGTAAATTTCATTTTTCGACACAATGACTTGTACATCTCATTGTTGCAAGGGTCCACCTGTATCCCTAGTTAAATGATTTGTTTTTTTCCCTTCCCCCCCATAAATTATACCAACATCAAATACAGTGAAAGCAGGGGTTATACTGTGGGGGAGGGACATACAAAGCAACAAAGAAATCATCTTATAAATGTGTTAGAAAAAATCACATGAAAGAAAAAAAACATTTGAATATATATCTTAGGGTTCATTTCCCTAACATCAACTTATCTGACCGTTTCTGCTTGACTCAGACATATACTAGTTATTGCAAATAAGGGAAACCATGGGACCTATGTTTCTTTGAGCCTGGCTTACTTCACTTAATACAATTTTTTTCCAAGTCTTTCCATTTCCTAACAAATGGGGCAATGCTGCCATTCTTTCTGATGGTGGCATAGAATTCCATTGTATATATGTACCACATTTTCTTGATCCATTCATCTACTGAGGGGCATTGGGTTGGTTCCATATCTTAGCTATGGTAAATAATGCTGCAATAAACATAGTTGTGCTAGTAGGTTTAGTGTGGTCTTGTTTGTGATCATTTGGATAAATGCCCAATAGTGGGATTGCTGGGTCATAGGGGAGCTCTATGTGGAGTCTTTTGAGGAACCTCCATACTGCTTTCCAAAGTAGTTGAACAAGTTTACATTCCCACCAACAATCAAGTAAGGTTCCCTTCTGTCCCCTCCAGCATCTGTTGTTATTATAGTTCTTGATTACAGCCATTCTAACTGGGGTGAGGTGATATCTCAATGTTGTTTTGATTTGCATTTCTTTTATGGCTAGGGAGGTTGAACATTTCTTCATGTGTCTATTGGCCATCCTTCTTTCCTCTTCAGAGAAGTTTCTCTGTAAGTCTTTAGCCCACTTATTTATTGGGCAGTTGTTTCTTTGAAGATTTGTTATTGGTGGATTTAATTTTTTGAGTTCCAGGTATATTTTAGATATGAGACCCTTGTCCATTGAATAGTAGTGAAGATCTCCCAATCCGTGGGCTTTCTA